ATCCTCCCCACCTGCCGCCCCACCTCCTTCCCCACGTGTCGCCCCCCACACCCCGCCCCCTTGGCACCGCACACGCCTTCCACCTGACGTCAAGCCCGAGGCGCAGCCGCCAAACCGGAAGCTGAAGCCCGAAAAGGCCGGTTCCGCCAGCTGCTCGCCGCGCAGGCGCAGCGGCAAACCGAAGGGCGGGAAATCGTGACGTCACGAGGACACTATGCGCAGGCGCAGTGGCGCTGGGGGGCGTGGCGGGAGGTCTGGTAGCCCAGCCACGGAGCAGAGACAGGATCCCCGGGATCCTGGATACCCGAGTGATTGCAAGCGCTTCCCGTTAGCCTCCGCAGCAGGTGCTCTCTGCAGGCGGTTGACTCCTACACCAGAGGGTTTTTGTGGATGAGCGAGATCTCAGATCACTTTCTGCGCTGGCTCCATGGTGGGACTCTAAGCCAGAGAGCCCTCAGCAAGGGACAGCCTCTCGGAGTTCTGGTTCTCCCCACGCAAAAGAGTTGGTAACTGAAAGGACGGACTGAAAGCGAGAAGCCACTTTGTTTTGTTCCTAAGTCTTGACACAATAATGAGAAAGTGAGAGCTGTGTCCTGGAGGAACGCATGCTTTCAATAAAGATGAACTTTGCTGACTTTGTCTTTTCAGAAACCCAGATCCCTCAGACATGACCAGTATCTGCCCATTGTAATCATAAAGCAGACCTCAAGGTCTACAAATTATCCACCCAGGGAGGCATCTGTGCTTCTGGCCTTGATGTATTGTTAATAAGTTTACTGTAACCGGCCTCCAGTTCACCACCTGGAGTCATGAGATACCGGGACCTGGTGATTTGTGTTATCTACATCAAAAAATGCAACTTTAAACCTGCTTCTTGAACCAAACTCCTCTCCGAGAGCTTTAAATATACCCAGTTCCCCAGCCTTCAAGGCCATACTCATCTTAGAGTGCTGGCCTTCTTCCTGTCTGTGGAAAGTGATCTTTTCTTAAATAAATCTTTTCTTTTTCATCTCTTGGTGTGTCGCAAATCTTTGTGTTATTCCGATCTTTGGTGGCCAGCGCGCACCTCTGGCACGCTGGCTCCAGCGGTGCTGTGCCCACTATAGACCCTAACCCTAACAGTAACCCTAATAGTAACTGTACTAGTATTGCTGGTTGTGAAATTGCCCAGGAGAGAAGACAACCTCCCACCCCAAACGTCTACTGTTGCATATAAAGAGAAAAATAGGATTTTGCAAAACTACCTAAGGCTGTTTTCTTTTTCTTTTCTGTTTGCTTTATCATGACGTTTGCTACTGTGATCTGATTTCTTGTCTCTTAATACAGAAATAATACATAATTCATAACAATGCATTATTTACAATACATAAACGATTGCATGCTCAGAAATCAACTATGGATTCATCTGGTTAAGGATTCAAAATAGTTATTTGATAAATATTTCTTGAGCACCTACTAGGATACAGTAAATTGTGCTAGGTATTCAGGATTTATAAATGAAAACAAACCCAGTTCTTATGTCCCAAGAATTCATTGATTTCACCCGAAACTTTGCTATGATCTGTCCTCTTCCACAATGAAGTGAGAAGTTATCCATAAAGTGTGGCAGAAATCGCTTCTAGAATTATTTCCTTTTAGTATAAAATATCGTTGCCTTAAGATGAAAGTGAAATTTTGCTGCAATGGGCTCTGATAAAACATTTTAAAGCTGTTAAGCACCCTTAGGGGTCATCTAATGTACAAAATCCTCATTTTCCAAAATGGACACATTTAATTAACAGGGGTTGTTTGTAGTGGAGTTAGAACTTAGAGCCCAAGAACATTAAGCTATTTTGCTTGTATATCTAATTCACCTATTACCTGAATATTTCTCTGAAATCATCCGTGATGTTGCAAAGCCATATGATACTGTCTTATGGGTAGTTCCTCTATCTACTATTGAACTTAAATACCCAGTTCACTTTGGAGGAACACAACAGTGCTAACTTAGAGGAACCCCCACTTGCCTGTATTATGAGTGGGCACATGTGTGTACATTGGCACCGTCTTCAACCTCTCCCGAAATCCTACAATGTCAGAGACTGGATTTCACTTGAGTGATATGAGAGAGCCATGAATTATGGAGCCACACCGTGGCAGAATGCGGCAAATGCTCAAATATATTTCTTGTATGATTGAGTGAATGAACGCAGAAACACATGAGTAGCTGCTTCAGAATCAGCAGTTGGCCCCATGGCAATCACTTGGGATGACAGAATGTCTCCCACTAACCCTGTGGCAGAAAGGGGGATTGGTAGCAGTTAAAGGTATTTCCTTCTGAAAGCCAAGCTGCAAGCTTTAAAGACCCACCAGGGCCAGGATGGTTTTGTCTGAAAAAGGCCAAATAGCTACAGACTGATGGCTCTCGTGGAAATGCAAAAGAGTAACTAATTCACAGACTTATCCAAAACCCCTCTTCTAGAGTTGACAGTTTACAACCCTGCAGTTCCTGGAGACCATTTGTTCTTTGAAAGATCTAATTTTGCTGAGTACAACCTTGTAAGATTCCAAAGGAAATATGCAATCACTCAACACGACCCCCTCCCTTACCTAAGCAAGGGTATAAGACCCCGCTTCTCCTGTTCTGCGGGGCTCGATTTGGACGCTTTAGCCCTCGATCCCGCCAGCGTAATAAAGTTGCCACTTCCTATAATATCTTGGTGTCACGATCCCTCCTCTGTCTTCCCGCTACAACACAAGCTCCAAAGTGATTCAAAGCCCAGTCTCTGTTTTATCATGTCATTTTAGCTGCTTAGTTCAAAGAGCATCAGAGGCTTTTCCCTAAGTATCTTCTAGAGTTGCTGTGATTACTAATTTATTTATGTAAATGGTCTACTTGCCTGCTTGGCACTTACTAGGCGACTGAAGACGAGAAGCTGTGAAATCAAGAGCTCAGCTTTGACCCAGAGCTCCCCATCTGGTATCAGGATACAAATGTTAAACAAAAACAAAACCCAAGCAACAACAAAAACGTATGCAACAGCCTCGGTCTATATTTAAAATAGGGCCCGTGGACTAGGGAGGGGAGAGACACACATCTCAAACAAACAACTCTATACAATTTGGTGCACAGGTGGCTGGCAGTCAAACTGACGACCAAGTCCTCGTTCCCAGGGCTCATTTGTGTGGGGAGCATCGCCCAGGTCCCAAGAGGGGTCCGACAACGTGTCCCCACGGTTGTACACGTCTGCAAAATTTGCAACAATAAGGTAATTTCCCCCTTCTTTCTCTTTAAAAGTGCTCTCCGGTGTGTAAAGGTTCAGGCCTCACGAAGCCTGCATTCGCCCTTGCCAGGCCACTCCGACAGAGGCAAAAAGAGGAAAAAATCGTGATGCAAGCGCTTTAGATCCTGGAACTCACTGCGACACCCCTAACGACCCCATCAGGCAGAGACACAATCTCTACTGCACAAAACCGCGTCTCGCTCTGCAGGCCACTGGCTCCGGGATGGCCTTGCCCGCGGTCCGGCTCCTCCCCCAACCCTAGAGGCCTCGGACGCGGAACGCGAGGGTCTCACGGCGCTGAGAACAGGGTGAGACGACGCGATCCGCCTCCCTCTTGGCGGAGCAGGCCCGTGCCGAGGTCTCTTTCCCGTCCCGGCCACCGTCGCGGGAACTCCCCGTCCCGCGGGTTCTGCGCATGCTCGGGAGCACGGGCCGCGGTCCCCACTCGGGGAGAGCCGGCGGAGAGCGGGTTATGTGGGAGCCGGCGGGGGCATTTGCCGGCGACACCCGAGCGGGGGCCGGAAGTGGAGCCGCCGCGAGCCGCGCTGCGGGAGCTCCGGGCTAGACCGTGGCGACGGCGGCGGCCCCTCGGCCGGAGGAGGACGATGCGGAGCGACGGAAGCGGCGCCGGGGGACGCTGCTGCGCGGCGCCCGCTTTCGTGCCCGCGGCCGACGGCGCAGCCTGCCCGCGAGTCTGAGTAAGCGCGGCGCGGCCGGGGGCGCCGAGCCCGG